TTAGCCCTGACTGCAAGTGTTGGTTCTGCCATAGCGATACCTAGATCAGCTGTAAAAATGGGTACAGAAGGCTCTAGAAGGTTTACCTCAAGAATAAATTAGTCCTAAGGTTGAGGACAATGATCTGGTACATCTGAGATGATCAGTGATGTTAACACAGATTACAGGTTCAGAGGGTTTAAAGTGAAACATCTAAGCAGGGGTGTTAGGTATGGCAATTGGTAGGGAACCTTTGAGCAGACTCCTTAAATAGGTAATATAGAAAAGTTACACATGTAGCCAATTGTACGCTCTCCTGTAGTGGTTCATTAAATTACAATACCAATAAGTGATTAATAAAAGTCAAAAGACCAAAGAGGTCACCTTAATACCAAAAAAAAAAAAAATTACTTAATTAAACACTTTAATTCTTATACTATATCTGACAAATAGTATACAAGTTTCTATATATCTAAATGTTATCTAATCTAAATCTAATCTCTTTGTTTATATATTTATTAAACTGTTATATATTTTAGAATATATTACTTGACTGTAGGCTTCAAGAGATTCTTCTACTAACTAACTACTTGTTTTTAGTTCTTGTTAACAGAACTTATTCTTGCAAAGTTTATTTAGACTTCAGTATTATGTTATAACATATTCCTAATACTTATAATATAACCTTATTTTTGGCATTAGACTTCTAATCTAAATAAATTAGAAGGACTATGTTTTGTTTCTAATATTCTAGAATTTCATCTTTCAAGATCTTTTTTCTTTAGTTTGAGACTTTTAGTAATCTGGTTAGTGATACCTTTTATCTGAGATTTTTGCCTATCTGATTTTTTCATATTAGTATTTATTTCCTAGATTTAGTCTTTATAGAGTACTATTGAAAATTTGTGCTACCTTTCTACTTGGGTTTTTATCAGATTGACTTCTTATTTCTCAATTTTAGCAGATTTACATAGTTACAAGAACTTATTTAGTATTTGTATTTTTAAATATTTATATTCTTTTATATAACCTGTTATACAGATATTTTATAACCTACCAGTTATGCTGATGCATGAAAAGAATTGATTCAAATAGTTGTACTTAATTAGGTTTAGAGCAATAGTGTTTGGTTCAAATAAGTGTTTTTTTGCTTTCTTTTTTATTTATTAGTTTTACTCTTTTTATTACTTTACTAATTATTTTTTTTTTCATTAGCAGTTATCATGATTATAAATTTAATTTATTATGAAAGTGTTCAAAGAATTGGTCCAAGTAGTTAGACTTGATTGAATTTAGAGTAATAGCATTTAGTTCAGATAAGTGTTCTTTTGTTTTCTTTTTTACTTATTAGTTTTACTTTTTTTATTATTTTACTAACTACTTTTTTTTTTTTTTTAGCAGCTATTGTGATCATAAATTTAATTTACTACTAAAGTATAAAAAGAATTAATCAAGTAGTTAAACTTAATTGGATTTAAAGTAATAATGTTTAGTTCAGATAAATGTTCTTTTGTTTTCTTTTTCATTTATTAGTTTACTCTTTTTATTACTTTATTAATTACTTTTTTTTTTTTTTATTAGCAGCTATTGTGATCATGAATTTGATTTACTATAGAGGCATTCAAAGAATTAGTCCAAGTAGTTATACTTAATTGGATTTAGAGTAATAGTATTTGGTTCAGATAAGTGTTCTTTTGTTTTTTTTTTTATTTATTAGTTTTACTCTTTTTATTACTTTACTAATTACTTTTTTTTTTCATTAGCAGCTATCATGATCATAAATTCAATTTACTACAGAATTACAAAAGGTTTAATTGAAGTGTAGAAAGAATTGATTTACTTAATTGGGTTTAAAATGATAATTTTTAATTTAGATAAGTGTTCTTTTGTTTTCTTTTTTATTTATTAGCTTTACTCTTTCTATTACTATACTAATTATTATTTTTTTATTAGCAGCTATTGCAATCATGAATTTGATTTACTATGAGGTTATGATTATATAAAGAATAGTTTTTAATAACAAAGTAATTCACAAGTTTAATCATTTTTATACTAGTATATAAGGAATCTGATTACTAATCAATATTCTTTTTCTTTTTTATTCAATGCAAAAATACAATATATGATAGTTACAAGGATAAGAAATAGCAATAATGATGAACAATTTTATAAAGCAAGGAGTTCAACAGACTAGAAATAAACACTTTTACCAAGTACTTTGAGGATTTTTGAACTTTAAGAATTTTTTTTTATTTTCTTGCAATTATGAAATACATAATGGCTAGGTTTGCTATATTAACATTTATATTATATAGACTATATATATTATGTTGAACATGTTAACTATATGTATACAAAATTTTATTAAGGTAATAATTTTCTTTTATTTATTATTTTTAAAAGGTTATTTAACAACTAGGTACTAACTAGATTTTTATATCAAGTTATACCAAAAAAATTTTACCAAATTCATTAATTTGAATATATATCTAATTCACCAACTTTGAAAAAATTAATTTCAAGTCACAATTTATTCTTTCACAATGTATATAAATATAGTTTAGAGCATATAGTTATATAACATTAATTTTTTTATATTATCATTATCGCTATTTATTTCATTATACTTTTTTTTAAAAAAAAACTTAACAATATACTATTGTTTTAAATATTTAGGTAATGTACTTGGAAGTTTAGCAATTATTATAACCAAAAAGCTAATTTTTTATTTTTGTTCATTTTGATGTTTGCTGTGTTTTTGCATTAAGAACCTCTTGGCATGAATTAACTTTAACAATTAAGAAATGTATAAGAACTCTATATTCTTTATAAAGTTTATCATTTTTTATATTATCATTTATAATTTTTACTAACTTTTCAAATGTTATCATATCATGTTTTAGAATATTTTTCTATTCTCAATTATATTGTGATATTTACAAATAGATGCATTTGTAATATAAATACTGAACATCTTACCTGATTCTGATTAAAATTTTACAATATTTTTTGAAGTGTAATTCCAGAGATTAGGACCCTTACATTTATTACGTAATTTTTTAGGGGGTGGGAGGTCGCACGAGTACTATAGTAATATCTTACGTTACACATAAGTATATAGTATAGAAATGAAAAACCGGTTCCATATCTATGCATGATCATCAGAATAGTTCTGATTGGCTAAGTACAGATGTAATTATTCACGAATAAGTTACATAAGACGTGTCGGATAAAATTCAATACTTTTAGTATAATAGTATCGCTATCGCTCTTAGTTTCGATTTATTATCTGTTATTAGAAACGTTAGATTTTACTAGATCGCCAAATACTTAGAAATATTTATTAATATATATTGTATAATGTAACTATTTTTTAACAACGATCAATAAAAATAAAAAAAAATTTAATTTCCTCAAATTCCAAGTTATATCATTTACAACTCTATATCCGACATAGAATCTCTTAGTTCAGGTAAAATTTCATCCAAAGTATCATGCTTGGATCTTTGTGTTGGCAGAAGAAAAAAATCATCAAGCATTGAATTTTGGCTTCTTGGTTGTGCCTTTGGTCATCCTCGAACAGAAGGATGCACTAATCTTTTGTGATTTGTCAAAAAAGCAAGAGTGGGAAAATACTTTTGACAAGTAGGACAGCAGAGACGTGAATAAGAATTTTTTTCAAGAGATGGACAATGAGCATCATAACCCAGTATTTTCAGAAGATCATAATACTGAAGTAAGTAGATAGGGTTCGTATAATGACCATCTTTAGCTCTAGTAACAGGTGGCAAAAAACCATTATAGCATTCAAGGAACTCCATCACTTCTTTTGCTCTAAACACTTCACAACAATTAATATCTTTGCATTTTTTAATATCAGTAGAATATGCGCACAAGTTGCAGTGATTTTCAATTCAAGACCATGGAATAAAACATCAGGTGCTTCATCTTCCTTTTCTATATTTATTTGGTTTTGCTTTTCTTGCCTTTTTAATTCTTTGATCATTTCCTTTTCTGAACCCTCGAACTGTAAATTATCAAATGGATTTGTAAATGTATCGACATATTGAGTATGAACACACTTTCCAAAAATTAAATCATGACTCCAAGCATCGCAAAGAATTTCTCCAGCATATCGAAAATTTTGAACAGCCAATTCAGGATCTATAATTTTGCCTTGTGAATCTAAATGCTTGCCAAAGTGATCAACTGGTAAGGTAATACCTGCAAGTTTTCCAGATAACGTCGCCATCCCTCTTTCAACGGGATTATATTTTGACTGCCTCAGAGCATGTGTTCGTACACTTAAATAATCCAAATCAAATTGTTTAAATAACTGACAATACACCTTTATGTTTTTTAAATGCTTAGGATTTTCGTCTGGCCCACCGTCTACTAGTAATATCCAAATAGGTTTAATTTGTTCATTAAATTTTAAAACATCATCATATTGAGGATCCAAAGTAAGGCTTCTTAGATCCTGCATATGTGTAAGGGAGGATGTACCAGTAGGCTATTGAGATCGAATGAAAATTGCGACCTGACCTGTCTAAATTTCATCATTTAGTTCATTTGGCTTTATTATTAGGTACACAGAAGGAATTAATTTTTGTCCATGCCCTACAGAAAAATCATAATCAGCTACAACTACAGGTTCATTAATTGACTGTAAGGTTTGAAAAGTTCGACCTACAGCAGGTATCCTGAGACCTACCTTTGCTTTATCGTCTTAAGAAACAATAATAGACATATCAGAAAACATAGAAGCAAATTGTTTTGCATACTTAACAGATGCAAGACAATAATGTCTGTCAGGATGTTCTTGAGTATCTGTACGTGAAACCCCAGCTACAGCAACCCATGCTGGATGTCTATGTGCTTTTGCAGCAATTGAATTAGCCTGACGAGATAAAAGATAATTATTTAATGTTGTTCGTGCCATATAAATATTATATCTCTCCTCTAAATTCTTACATAAATTTTCAATAATTCTTACTTTAATCACCTCTTTTCTCCTTTTTGGATCAGCTGATCCAGATTCAACATAAGTATATATTTGGTCATGTAGGTCTGGGTGTTGGAAAAGCAGTGATGGACGGCCAACCTTATCATACCGAACTACCTCCTGATTTTCAGTAAGCATTTTGAGCTTTTTTTTTCTGCAGTTTTGAGTGTATTTTGCATTCCTTTTAATTTATTTATTTTTTCTTTGTTTAATTTAATTTCTGATTCGGCCTTTTCTATTTTTTCATGCATTTCATGTAAAATTTTTATATCACTTGTAATTTCACAGATTTGCCTCAATTCTG